ATTTTCAGCATCATTACTCCAGTCTTCAGTGTCACATGATCTTCAGAAATCATTCTAATATGCTGATTTATTATTAGAATTATCAATGTTGTGCTGCCAAATATTTTTTTGGAGATACTTTTTTCAGGATTCTTTAATGAATAAAAAGTTCAAAAGAACAGCATTTATTCAAAATAGAAATCTTTTCCAACAATATAAATCTTTGCTATCACTTCTTATCAATTTAACACATCCTTGCTGAATAAAAGTTTTAATTTCTTTCAAAAAAAGAAAGAATAAAAATGTACTGACCCCAAACTTTTGAACGGTAGTGTATATTGTTAGAAAAGATTTCTATTTTAAATAAATGCTCTTCTTTTTAACTTTTTATTCATCAAAGAATCCTGAAAAAATTATCACGGGTTCCAAAAAAATATTAGAGTTGTTTAGTTTTATTATTGCATTTATTGCAAATTTATCTTAATTTAATGGTGCAATTACCTCAATGTAATTGAGATGGTAATGAATGATTTATCAAAGTTATTTAAATTTTTTGTGCTGTATTTCAATAAGCCAGTATGTATGAAACAGTTTATAAACAACACATTTTATTTTATTTTAATAATTTTATGATTTTCTTAATGCAAAATGTATGATTTTCTTAGATAATGTGAATAAATCAGTGATAAAAACAAATGTAAAAAAAAAAAAAAAATTTATAATGCACTTTTTATAATAAACAACATAATTGAGATTCTCATTTTGTGCAACACTGATGGCAAAAATATTAATCTGATGTTTGTTTAAAGTAGATATTTTCCCCTTTAGTTTAATGTAGTTAAAATATAAAAGAATATGAAGCAGCAGCAGTTTCCAGCTCTGATAATAAATCAGCATATTAGAGTGATTTCTGAAGATCATGTGACACTGAAGATGCTGAAAATACAGCTGCGCATCACAGAAATAAATTAGATTTTAATGTATATTAAAATAGAAAAACGTTATTTTACATCATAATAATATTACACAATATTACATTTTTTCCTGTATTTTTGATCAAATAAATGCAGCCTTGATGAGCAGAAGAAACTCCTGTAAAAAACATTAAGAGAAGACAAAAGCTGAAACAAATCCAGCATTAAGACGTTTTTAACTCAAATACATTGAGTCCATAATAACTCTTCTTCCAGTGAAAAAGTGTTCTGGTGTGAATCAGGAGAGAAATCTGCACAGATCAAGCAGCGTTTAAACAGCTCTAAACTAATATGTGGCTGGATTTTGATGTGAGAGACAACAGCAGATGCACTTTTTCACTGGAGGAAGCGTTATTATGGATTATGAACTCTATGGTATTTTAGTTAAAAACATCTTAATGCTGGATTTGTTTCAGCTTTTGTCTTCTCCAGATGTTAACTGATGGACTGGAGTGCTGTGGATTACTTGTGGATTATTGTGATGTTTTTATCAGCTGTTTGGACTCTCATTCTGACGGCACCCATTCACTGCAGAGCATCCATTGCTGAGACACTGATGCAGTTCTACATTTCTACAAATCTGATGAAGAAACAAACTCATCTACATCCCTGGATGACCTGAGTGTAGATTTTAATTTTTAGGTGAACCATTCCTTTAAAAAGCCTTATTCACTCAGAGATACAAGCACATCAGTAATATGTGAAAATATTTGAGACTTTATTGTATGCTGCAGAAGTCTTTGACACACAGTATATTAATACAGGACGTTACAGTGCATGTGTGTGTTTCTGTCCAGTGGCTTGTTTCGATTAAAACATTTTAAGAGTTTTTCTGAAGACTGAAGCATGCTGCGTTTCTGGCGCCTGCAAATAAAAATCATCAGACCAAAATAAAAATGAGGGTTAAACCATATAAACACACCCCGAATGTGCCGCTGTTAAGACCTGCTTCACAATTTATGTACAAAAAACCCCATTTCGGTTCCACCTGAAGATCTTCTGTGAAATTCCAGACTCACAGTTTCATCTACATTAAGCTCGAAATGATTTACAATCGGCTGCAACCTCAAAATATAAATCACAAAAGGCACTCGAAATAAATCAACATAAAAAAAAAACAGTTCGTCACATTTTGACAGCGAGTGTCCAGCAGAAGCAGCGGAAGCTAGAAATATTGCACCAGGAAGTGGCTTCTCTTCACAAACAGGAAGTTTAATCAGAGCCTCGTGTTCCTCTGAGACGGGATGTTCTCGGACGAATCTACAGTCGGTTTTATAGAAATGAGGCTTCAGGACAGACGGACAGCAGACGGTCATCACAGTGTTCCAGAAGAAACTCAAGATCTAATACTGTTTCTGCAGATCACACTTCACCTCAAAACCAAACGATCGTTTTCTACATAAAGGAAAGACTGTATTATATCCTATTATTTTCATGACATTTAAATACATTTTCCCACAACCAAAAAAAATAAATACACTTACAGTAAGAACACATGTTGTACTGCTTCTTTTGCTTTGATTTTAATAAAGTAAAAAAAAAAAAAATACTGTGTCGAAACAACATGATTATCATTACTGTATTAAGAAATTGTCATGAAAATACTCATGCAAAACTTCCTAAATCATGCAAAGAAAAAGAATTTAAAAAAATATATATATATATTATACCCATTTGATATATATATATATATATATATATATATATATATAAAATAATAACTAATAACATAAATTATATTATTTTAAAGTTTTAATGTCCTTGATTCGTTAATGTTTGTTGCCTTTTCCTTTTGCATGGGCCCCTTTACACCTGGCATTAACATACATTTTGTATTCAAATAGTGTCTGCATATTCTTTAACTGGGCTGTGTTTGCAAATAATGAAAAAGTGTATTAGCATTTACACCTTTGTCAAATGTGGTTCAGTGATCTTATCACAATGTGTCTCAGGTACATTTACACTTGGCTTTTAATATATGCATGTAAATGGCATGTTAATACCCAGATGGGAAAGGGCCTTGTGAGTATGGATTATCCTGTGCAGTGAAGCCGCTCACTTGCAATCTTTTTTTGTAAATTTTCATTGAAGACTGTTACTGTGAAGCTTTACCCCATTTACTTTAGGAAATTGCTTGGCTGTAGCCCAAACTAATGATTGTTTCTCATCTTTAAGGGCCAAGTTTTAGTGAGACCGAAGAACAAAAGAACCATCAATCATTTGGAAGCCCCCATAGATTATGCCGATACACACAATGACTCTGAACAGAAACAGCAGTGTGCTGTGAGTGAACTCCTGTAAAAAACATTAAAAATCGTTCTGATCCCAAACTTTTGACCGGTAGTGTGTGTATATATATATACATTTTAAATTTTGAGTGAAACGTGATCTGCATATTTCAGACATGGTGAGATTCACTCTGAAAGCACGTGATAAAACCAGCCAGAAATACATTAGAAAAGGTGAAATGAAACGGTGGAATGTTAAAACACGAGCGTCCGGCTGCTGGTGCTTGATTCCAGTGAAGGACACGCAGTGTTTCGACACGTCTGATCTCACGAGGCACATTAACGGCCATCATTCAGTGCGTGAAGCGCAGGTTGTAGAGCAGCTCAGCGGTCTGACACAGTGATTTGGGGTTTGCGCTGGAGAAATACTGACAGCAGAGCCAGTCCTCCAGCTCGGCGTTCCTCTCCGGCTCCAGCGAGCGCTCGGCGAACTTCATCATCAGCAGCGCGCGCTTCACGTCCAGCCAGTTCAGCAGCCCGTCGTGCCTCGGCTCCAGCCTCTGCGCACCGCCGCACTCCAGCAGATCCCGCCGCGGGCCCCACAGCAGCGCCTGCAGGATGCACCGGGCGTCCTGGATGTGGATGCGGCGTCCAGGGTCGGGCTCCAGCAGCAGGTGCGCGAGTCTCTGCAGGCCGGACGAGTAGATGGACGCGCTGGGGATGGGCGGCAGCTCGTCGCATCTGTAGTCGCATTTGGTGGGCGTGGCCTCGAACGGGTTGCAGCGGTGCAGGAGCTCGTAGATCAGGATGCCAGTTTGGAACTCGTCGAATTTGCGGTACTGCGCGGCCGAGACGATTTCGGGCGCGAGGCGGGCGTGATCCCGCTTCAGACGCGGGTCGGTGCAAACTGCATCCTCGTCGCGGCGTTTCGCTTTGCCGAAGCTGCTGATGAGGAGGCGCGGGAGGCTGTGCTGCTGCGGGTCGGAGCGCCGGTGATGCACCAGCAGCAGGTTCTCCATGCAGAGGTCGCGGTGCGTGACCCCGTGCGCTTTGAGGTGCTCCAGTCCGGCGCACAGCTGCAGCAGCAGGAAACACACGCGGCGCTCGTAAACCTCTGGCTGCGCGCGGTGGAACGACTCCCACTCGCGGACGAAATCCGCCACGCTCTGGTGCGGGACGTCCCGTGTGATGACCACCACGCGCTCCTGCTCGGCCGGACCGCTCTCCTCGCTGGGTAGCATGCTCCGCGGCACGCACGCGATGAAGTGACCGCAGTCCTGCTGCAGGCTGAAGTGAGGCGGTACGTTCTGCTGCACCGACAGACCGTACAGATGAACCTGCTTACTGTCCGGTGCCTGGCCTTTACAGATCTGACCAACACACAGAGAAAACAGGCATGTTACAACGATAAATATCAATGCAATGATAAACTCAATTCACAATACATTGTTTCAAAGCAACTTTACAGAAAATGCTTGTTTAAAAGATTTTGGTGACACTTTGTTTGAAAAGTGAAATATACATATTTTAATATTTAACATTTATAACGCATTTAATGCAATAATTACTGTCTTGTAATGCACCTTATAATGTCGCCTTTGGCTTGCTTAGTTGGGGACGCTTGACTGATTGCACAGACACTATTGGAAGAGAACTGAATCATCAATGAACTGACTTCAGCTGAAAAATGGCTGTTATTGTCCTCTCGCATTATTGACAAACTATTTTCCTGTTTGACTGTTTGACACGATCTGTATTGTATAAAGCGCTATACAAATAAAGGTGACTTGACTTAATGCATTGACATAGTACTTATCTATTCATCGTTGCACATTTAGAAAGTATAATGCATTAAAACATGACAAAAACAAATTTTACAATGCATTTTAATTTTAGTTGCAATTATTTATGAAATTACATTATGCATTACAACATACATTATGAATACCAAAAAGCTTGAAGAGTTACCAGATTTGATAATGTTTTTGAAGGAGCTTCTTCTGCTCACCAGGGCTGCATTTATTTGATTAAAAATACAGTAAAACTGTGAAATATTATTACAATATCAAACAGCTGTTTTCTATGTGAATATCTGTTAAACTGTAATTTATTTCTGTGATGCACAGCTGTATTTTCAGCATCATTACTCCAGTCTTCAGTGTCACATGATCTTCAGAAATCATAATAATATGCTGATTTGCTGCTCGAGAAACATTTCTGATTATTATCAATGTTGAAAACAGTTGTGCTGCACAATATTTTTTGTGGAAACCATGATGCATTTTATTTTTCAGGATTCACAGATGAACAGAAAGTTCAAAAGAACAGCATTTATTTGAAATAGAAATCATTTGCGTTACATTAGAAATGTCTTTACTGTCACTTTTGATTGATTTAATGTGGCTTTGATGAATAAAAGTTTTTTTTTCGTAATGTTTGAATGGTAGTGCATCAAGGTTTCCACAAAGATATTGGGCAGCACAACTGTGGGAATGGTGGGAAGGTTTCAAAAACATAAAATCGTAATTATTCCACCATTCTGACCAGTCGTGTGTCCTCTCACCTTGACGGCGTATGTGTTGCGTGTGTCTGACGCGCAGGAGGCGGAGTAATACACAGCGTCTCCGGACATGCAGCAGGGTTTGTTACAGGTCAGCTTGAAGAGTGACCAGTTGCTCTCGTCGAATCTCAGCGTGTTCCTCTGGCCGCTGGTGAAATGCTCCTCACACTTGAGCGCCAGACGCCGCAGCGACTCCGCGTACAGGCCGCCCAGCTTCGAGTATATACCCTCGCGGCTGTCCATGTTCCTGAGCAGCGCGTGCAGCTGCAGTGTGGATCCAGCGGCCGGTGTGTTGAGCTGCGGCGACGAGCAGGACGTCACGTTCCCCAGACGAGGCGCGCGGCGCTCCAGAGACTCGCTGGACGAGTACAGCGGCCGCGGCTCCACCGGGCTGAGCGGGGCGGCGCTGGGGCGGCTGACGTTGGTCTCGGAGCCGCTGAAGGGCAGGCGCGGGCGGGAGCGGGTCAGGGGTTTGACGCCCGACTCGCTCGGAGCCGAGATGGTGCGGTTCACTAGCTTCTTCTGCGGTAACGGAGGCGGCTGCAGCTGATTCGCCAGGCTGTTGCTAGGAAACGTGTCAGGCTGCGGCGATGCTGGGGCGGAGCCAAACAGGCTGCTGAGAAATGGGGAGGGGCTTAAGCGGAGAGTGGAGTCTAGAGAAAAAGAGAGGGAGAAGAATGTGGAGGCCACATGTGATGGTCACATGACTGATATTCACAATAACAGCATGACTATGAGTGTTATATTGAATTATACACTATGTGAAGATTTTTGCTACTAAAACAGTAAAATATTGAATTGCCAGAGTTTGAAATATGTACTGTATACTGGATTCAGAATCAAGTGAATCATATGATTGTGCTTTATTTCTAAATGATTAGTTTCAGACAGTCAAGAGAGAGAATAAAAAGTGTTTAGTGGAAATGAAACTATGTTCGTCTTCCTCATTTCTGTTTCTATATTCTAACTTACTCACACACTCAAACGCACACACACACACACTCAAACACACACACACACACGCACGCACATGCGGACACAAACACATACATGCACACTTTTTTACAATTTTCCAGTTATTTATCCTAACACCACGTGCTATTTTACACAGTCAAAACAAAATGGATGGCATCATAAAAATGA